AGCTGGCGCTGAAGCACAACACTGCCGCTGTGCCGGAAAGAGTTTTGGATACCAATTTTAAATTTTTGGGATATTTTTAGGTACGTAACCAATATTTTGAATTCTGCTGGAAAAATTTAAAAAAGTCGGTATACGTTAAGAGGCGTGGTAGATAGTGCGACGTCTCAAAACATTGATCTGGGTAAGGATCCCTCACACTATTATCCGTTATGGTAAATTGAAGCTTAACAATATATAATTTTGTATTTTTGTAAAAAGTTAGAAAACTCTAAAAATAATTACAAGTCACTAGTGGAGGCAGAACCAGTTAGTTTGCAATTGTCCTGATTTTCTATTTATTTTACTATGCTGTCTTATTTACTTGTTATCGTATTATGTATGTTCTTAATTTATAGTTCAATTGTCTTATTGATTTATCTGGTTTATTCGGTTATCTGGTTACTCGATCCCTTATTATGATAAGCTATATTATCTGCATAAATGTCGTCTAATTGATTTGTAAATATATTATGAGATGTATGCGTTTGTTGGTTGTTTTGTTTGATAAGAATCTTTATGTGAAAGACTTACTGGGTACCCAGAAAAATGGCAGACGGACCTGGTACATAGGCAACCCTATCATAAACGTCATCTCAGTCAGACGAGACTGAAAAGTCCCATATCAGAAAGATTTGGGAGATATCGTTCAGTCTCATACTTGACGGGGTATCAAGGCGATGGAATATTTGGTGCCCATTACCGGACGAGGTATAGAGACGGCTGGTTAATTGTTAAAATTAGATATTGGGTTCACGAGTAAGATGACATCCCTATAGACCCTCAGGGGTACCAGTAAGCAAGTAAGAAAAGAAAATTGTCATTATTGTTCTCTTATGGGTGAAAATAAAAAGTGATATAGATATGGGTCTTTATAGGTTACTTTTGAAAAACTCATAACGGTTTGTATCAAACAAATGTCTTTATGTTAATATATTTAATTAAAGCAATTGCTCCATTAGTTGTTTTTCTGATTTTTACCAATCTTCAGTTTTCTGTATATGTGATTAGTGTGATATTCTTACTGGACTAGTGTAGCTCACCCTTTCATTAACCATTTTATATCAAGAAAATCAGGATCTAAATTCTGATCAGCAAGAGGGTTGTGAGTAGTTCACTACCCGAACTTCCTTCAAGTGCTAGTGAAAGTTATCTTATGATGTTTATTTATTCGTTTTTTTTTAATTACTGTTTGACTTTTAGAAGTGATATTCTTGTAACCTTATTGGGTATTCTAGATTATTGTATAAGGAATGTAAACCCTAACTCTATTATTTGCTTCTACATTTAAATTATAGATTCATTTCTTTTAAGGTTCTTGGTCTTTGCACTAAGTATTGGTGTATAGTAAAATAAATTCAAATATGATCAAAATAATGCAACTCAAGAACAATAAATACAAAGAAATTAAGTCAAAATAAGGGAAAAGAAGCATACAAATACAATTTATAAAGGTTAGGCCTAACATATGCCTATGTCCTCTCCTGAAGTCTCCAACTTGAGAGTTTCATTAAATTCAACAAGTTTTATGTTTATAAAATGCTTGTTGATCTAGGTGTCAAGTTTTACCTCTTACAAGTGTTCTTTAAAACATTTCACACCTAAAGAGCACTCACTTTTTTCTCACAAAACTCAACTAGAATGCAATAAAATAAGATGAAAGTTTGAATATTTCTCTCTCAAAGAGTGATATATAAGATGAAGCTTAAAATTTTCAAATTTAAGGCTTAAGAAGAGAAAAAGATTTTTGCTCTTGATTTGAATCTTAATAATCCAAAATTCGTAGTAAATAAGATAGAGAATGGTATTTAATGGCATTAATATAAAAGTAATCGTTATAGAGGTTAAGGATAAGTAAGGGCATCAAATGCTCTTAGAAGTGATTATTTCCTTTGTTTTTTGAAAAACTATCAATGGTAATGTGTTTTAATTGTGCCGACACATTGTAATCCATATGTATTATCACATTTTCGATAAAGAAGATTCTCATAAATTAGCTCTCCATTTTTCTCCAAAAACAACTACGATGATTTTCTCTTAATTTAAATACTAGTATGAAGATTTTAAAAAATGATTAAGCCATACTTCTTGAGCCATTAATTTAAATTCATTTTATGCAACTCATAAATCTTCTCTTGCTCTTATTTGTTCATCATGTTTCTTGAAATTTTTCAAAGTGCTCTTCTTTTATCATTGTTATACATGTTATTTGGCAATAGCTCATAAAAGTCTCATTAGTAAAATTAAATATTGACATCATCAAAATAAATGAAAATGTTTTAACAACTAGAGATTTTAATATTTCTGCTCTGGAGACGTTACTAACATCATAAGAAGCTAACTTAAAAGTGCTCAAGTTTAACTTAAAACAAGCTTAAAATTGCATGAAGCAATTTACTGATGCTCGTCATATTGAAAGAAGCTTTCAAGTCAAGGATCTTGTCTATGTAAGAGAGCATTACAAGCAAACTTTTGTCACTCAAAGAAGCAATAAGAAGTTGACCTTTTATGTAAAGGTCCATTTTCAATTATACAAAAAGTAAGAGAAGTAGCATCTAAGTTGCAAACTCCTCAAGGTAATAAAATTCCACCTATTTTCCATGTTTCACAAGTAATGAAGCTTCCCACGAGTTCCTTTACAAATGGAACCCATTCAAAAGTTATAAGATCCCACATCAACCTTTTTTAATATTGGAGAAAAGGTTGGTCAAGCGTCACAATCAACCTATAGTACAACTGTTTGTATAACAGAAGAATAAGGCACCTTCACAAGCTATAAGGGAAGATTCTTGAGAATTTTAGAAGAAATGTCCTTGCTTTTCCATTACCATGTGGGCAACCGAGAAAATGAAATTAAGAAACTAAAAACCTTAATTGTAAAGGAAAAGATAGAAAAAGAAAGTTGTTATAACATATTTATAACAAACATAGTTGGAATCATTAAGGGACCAATATATGTATAAACACTTGGTACCCTATGTCATATAAAGTAAGCATTTTCAATGAAGGAATTTTTTCTTATTTGGATCTCTCTCTCTTTGTTGTCATCTATGTTTCGTTCGTCACTTAATAGCATTCTTCTCTTATTTCTCTTTTTTTATTCCATTTAAATCTATACATAATATATGAATAACTAAATTATTATGTTTAAACTGGGGAGCATAATTTATTCATATCTATTATTTTTATTATTTTCTTCTATTTTAGTCCATCATAAAAATAAAATAAACAATTTGTTCTCTATATGTTACAAAATCTTTATCGTTTAAGAGGACTTAAAGTCCAATAACTTTCATGATTTAATTGATCACTTTTATCGGCCTACTAATTAGACAAGATAGATAATGTACAATTGACATTAATATATAGGTCTATAGTTATAAATTTCTCAACAATAAGAAGAATCAAAATGCAAAAACTAATCAAGCTTCCAAAGAACTAAATCTGAGTTTCTCCATACATTGACTCAAGCATTGTCTGTTACTATACCATGTAAATTTAGCACTAAAAGAGTCAAGAGCATTAAGGTTATTAAGGTGAGGTTCTAGGAAAATTATTGACACCTAGTCAAACTATATGGCCAGCCCTTACCTTACCTTACCTTACCTCTCGTCTCTTGAACGTTCAAATTTTCTAACAACCAACCATGGACCAACAATATTCAAACATATGTTTCTTAATATCTCTCATCCTTTCTAATAGGGGCTACAACACAATCAGTTCAAGTGCTCAAATTTTCCCCTCTCAGTTGACTGTTAAACAAATTAAAAAGTGGTATGTAGCGCTAGACATTTAAAAACAAAATATTTCCATATAATCCAAGTTCCGCCCCTGAAATCCAAATAAGAAATAATTTTGGGTCACTTGACCTAGTCTCATGTAAGTAAGACATGCCAGATTAGCATAGAAGCTTAACGTCCCCACTTGACTAATACCTTGGTTTGTAGGGTTGTTTATTCGTAATGTTCAGTTTTAGCTTTTGGACATTTCAAATTGAATTGGCCAGCCATATGCACAACCATAAAGATGAAGGTTCACCAAACCCTTTTTATGAGGCTTTCATCCATTTCCATCGCCTTCATGTTCAGAGAGTCTTGCAGGTGACATTCACTTTGGATCAGACAGTTTTCTCCTCATCCTCACTCAAGAAGCTCAAATAAGGGACCTCATTGGTAGAAATATTAAGATTTTTTTGTTTTGCTGTTGGTCATTGTCTCTCATGTATCTTCAAGGTCCCTGAACAACTACTTTTGTCCTTCATAGGTTAAATTATGTATGATGCACCGCAATATTTTGTTAATTATTATAATTTCCAACGAAAATTTTATTCTGTAGATTATCATCATAATTAATTTTATCAATAAATATTTAATTATTAGTTAATTCTTAATTCAAATTTTTATTTTAATTCCACCAATATATGTAAGTTATTGTGTTTAAGCTAAAATTTATCCATCAATTTAAGAATTGAATTTTCACCTCTAAAAAAATAAAAAGAAAACATAAAAACAATATGTTAATTATATATATTAAATACAAATGAATCAAAAGCATGTAATCTCACATTGACAAATATAAGAATTTAATATAGAATCAACTCTATCTCATAGTTTGGGTTGCATGAAGGAACGTGGTAAGGGATGTAATTACCATCCCCCAAGACAATTTAAAAATAAAGAAAATTTAAATTTGAAAATGCATTAAAAACTATGAAGCATAAAATACTCATGAGCCTTATTATTATTCAATGAAATATGTTTACATAAAGTAAAAAAATTTAAATTATAACCATTGTAATAAAAAGTAAAGATATATTTATTCATTTTTCCTGAAGGTTTATTTAAAATTAAATTTTTAAAATTTAAGGCCTAAATCAGGGATAAAAATTATAAATAAATTTCATATAATTATTTCAGACACGACATAGCCCAATGCAATTTTTATTGTTATGTTGTTTTCGAAAATTGAAACAAGCTATAAAATTTTCTTCATAGATAACTCAAGGATCCACTGATCACACAGTCTTGCAGAGAACTCTCTAGTTGTGTGCAAACTCTCTCCAAAGAAAATGATAAACCCCAATTACATCTTCAAATCCTAATAATTCCAATATCTGCAGTGACTCTTAAACTGATGAAATACATAGACACACTTTCTTTCGATGATATGCGACTAATTTACAAATACTTAAACTCTGCTCCTATACTTAGAAGGGGGGGAAAAAACCAACTTTTTACAGGTAATAGACACCCAAACAACCTCAAGTAAAAATATGCATAAGGCAAAATTCTAGCATACAATTGAAGGGAATCTCTTCTTGTTTTAACTGACATGAACTTCCCCACTCTCATGTGCCTCCTTGACTCTTTTCTCATATTCATCCTCTTCTTCCTCCTCCCCCTCTACATTTTCTTCTTTCGCTTCAACATCTTCTTCTCCACCCCAGCCAAAACCTCCGATTGATCGGGATGACGGTGGAGGAACTTTAGCATCCTCCACAATCTTCATGATCTCTTCAACACTTTGGAGGGAAAAAGTTGGATTTTCTTTCCTGTAATAAGCGGCTTGGGCTGCCTCGGTCAGTTCCCTAGGAAGGTTCTTTAGAAACCATGGATGGCTTTTGATTTCTTTAATGCTGAGCCTCTGCAAAACAATCATGCTTTAGAACTCCTAAGGACTTGATTGATGGATACACTTGTTTTCATCCCTAAGCATTGGATTTGATATTTTATTCATCCAGATGGAAATACCCAAGTTCATAACATAAATATTAGAAACAGATGACACCATAAAAGGAAAAGACAAGGATCAATGTAAAAAGTTTCTCTCTCTATATATATATATGTATATATGCATGTACCTCCCAGTGCAGCACAAGGTTGGGCTGAAAACCCCTCCATCCAAAGACAGGAAGCCCCCAGTCTAACAAATTCCTACTGCAGTTTGGCACTGCCATACAGTGCAGGCAAAATTGCTACCTATCAGGCTGCTGTGCACCCATATGTTAGGTTTTTGTTGGCGACAAAACTCAAGCACCTTTTTTCCTTCAAAAGAGGGACCTCCCTCAATAGAGAGAACATACATCTTACAAGCCACACCAAAGTTGACCATGCATTAATGTTCCACATTACATTCTACCTAGAGACCTATCATTTCTTTCCTAATACCCATCAACAAAAAAAACATGGAATGCGTAATGCATTGCATCAAACAACTGCTGAAAAACAAATAATGAATACAGACAGGATTCTTCCAAAGCAAAATAACATAAGGTAGCTTTTCAGCAAAAACATTTCCTGATTTAAACAGGCAGGTGCATTACCACGAAAACCTAAGTTGAGAAACTTCTCACAAAAATGCTACTTTCCAAACTCCCAGGTTTTGATACTTTTTCTCCACTACTTCCATCTTGTATGCTTAAGTTTTCGTCCAAGGGTGACACCATTGCAAATGAATTTCTAGCATCTGCGGTGCTACACTTGTTAGTTCCATTTGCTCAAGTCACACCAGTTGTTGACACTGAGGTAAATAACGAACATTATCATGGTACAACCTTTTCCTTACCTCACAACTGACCCAATAAATCAACATGGTAAAACAATACTATGCCCATAAAACACATAAGCCATGTTTAGACTATGCAGAAACTGCAGAAAGGGTAAACAAATAGATCTGTTGATGGTACCCACTAAAGCCCATTTTTATAACAGAATTCATGATGCTGAAAAATATGGCTCCGCAAAACTATGCTCCTTAAACCACAGGCAGAGAAAACCACACCAACCATTAAGCTACTCTGAATAGAAGTAGAAAATGAAATAACCTAGCTGGACCACAATATGAACACTTGTGAATGGTGTGAACAAAGAAGCCTTTCTCTAACAGCATATGCAATCTTGAAGGCTGCTTAATTATCACATATAAGATCCATAGGCTGAGAATTTTTGGAAACAAAACAAATGCTTCATTAATCAACTCACAAGAAGTGTGCAAGGAGAAGAAGATCTTGAACCAAAGGAAGAAAGATGCTAGGGGAGAGGTTCATGCCAGTTAAAATGAGATTCAATTATCTTTTTAGAATTGTATTCCAGATCCATAGGCTGGCAATTTTGAAATCAAGCTCCTCTAACAAATTTTTGACGGTTCAGAATAGGCTTTATACAGTAATTTGCTTCAAGTTTGCATATTGAATCATGCTTTGTCACTGTGGGAATGTGTGATGTGCTACCAGAAGCTGAGACTCGTGCTCATCTTTTACTGCAGTTTGAGATGGCAAGGAGAATCTGGTGCAAAGTCTGGAAGACGTTTGACATCTGCTAGTTGTCTCCTAAGACTGTGGAAGGTTTTCTTTATTTGCCACTGATAGGCCCAAGGATGAGGAGGGAGTATAAAGGCACTTTGGTAATTGACTGCCTTTGCAGGCCTGTAGGTGAGATGCCTGGAGATATGCTAGAATCTTTCATAATTATGATTCACATTTTCTGGTTCTTGGGGATAAAGTTTGCTTTTTGGCTTCTGTTTTGACCAAGGCTAATCATCACTTTATAGATGTTTCTTTATCTGTTTTATGCAGAGATTGATCAGCTATTCTCGCAATTAGAAACTCTCTCTTCTTTTGTTAGAGGATATATTGTCCTCTCTATTTGAATACAAGAATAGCTACTCTTTCTTTTTTTAGAGGATATGTTTTTGAGAAGTTTTTTCAGAGGATATATAATCCTCTCTATAGAAGAAAAAAAAAACAGAAAAAAAAATCTCCAACCAAATCAACTCACTCAGTCTCAGCACTCGACTTTGAAATAACTATTTGGTTCTTACTCTTTCAAGAAACTTATCCCCAACAAATATACAACAACCAGTTGTGGATCTTCTATCCTTTGGCCTAAAGACATCGGCATATCCCTTAATTCGAGTATGACTACAACTCTGGTAGATTAGACCTCAACCTAGAACATTTATGAGATGCTTCAATAATTTTGAATAACAGCATCCCGCCAGTCATACATGGAGCATCAAGAAACTGACTTACCACACATACTGGAACAGAAATGTGAGGTATAGAAAATTTCTACTTCAACTCTCCAGCCAATCTTCTGTATCCTCCTGGGTTTGACAATAATTCACCACCATCAGCAACAGGTTTGGCATTTGGATTCAGGTTTTCTTGCATCCATTTCTCAAACAACAGAACCAGAACATACATTGCAACAGAAAATGTGATCTAGCTACTTCAATATCAGTAATTACCTTGACTAACCGAAATCTTTGGTCTGGAATATAAAAAAATTAAAAAAATAAAATGTGAAATATATTCAATAGCACCAAGTGGGTGCAAACCAATATACAAATATTTATATATCTATTAAATATCTATCAAGTCCCCAAGATTCTCACTAGAATGAAGCAGGTGACCCTGATTTTAAAATTTGAAAAAAAACAAAACAAGAAAAAAACTTAGAATCTGAAACCAAAAATCCTTAAATTTATCAAAGTTAGATTCAATACTCTCAAAAGCCATCATATTCCTCTCTTTCCAGATGACCCAAAAGCTAGCCAGAGGGATAAGTCTTAGTCTCTTATCCCCTTAGATGCCTCTCCAAGCCCATAGCTCCTCCTTCACACATCCAGCAATAACCCAACTCACCCTCAATAAAATCATAAGCCAAGCACCAAAGCCGAAACACAAATGGGCACCTTAAAAAGATATGATTGCAGAATTATGTGTGCCGCTTG